AAGCGGAGAACTTGTCCGCCAAATCCGAGAATGAGGCTATGGAGTTGGACTCTAAGGTTGAGAACCAATCCCTAGCGGCATTCATCAAGGTTTGCGGGAAGGCCTTGCACATCAGCTGATCTGGTGCAACCTGTAAATTCATGACGTCCGTGTATATGTTCAGATGATTGATTGGATCGGTGGTCCCATCATACTCTTTGATCCTAGGATACTTAAATCTGTCCGGCAAGGGGAATGTTAATATCTCGGGAGTAAATGGAGTATTGGGACTGAATCTTGTCGTCCCTTTATTGCCCTGAAGTAGGCCCGTCGTAATTCCTTCTTGAATAATCCTAGCGAGTTCTCCGAACTCCATGGTCACTGATCTCGAGGCCGAGGTCACATGTGGTATACCCGAGGCCCCTGCTCCGCCTTTTGGCCTGTGAAAAGAATCAGACGGGTATCTTTCAAGGCTTGTTTAGTATCTCTCATAATGAAATTTTGAACTTGAAATTTAACAATTACATTTGTTGTCCCATAAAAATAGACTTGTTTTTCTTTTTTCTTTTTTTGTCCTAAATTATATGTTACTTTACTTATTGAGAATATAGTTCATTTTTTAGTTTTCTAATATGTCCATATTTAATGTGTTTTGTTATTAACAAATATGAATTGCTTTTATTTAAATAATTATTTAATGTAATGGTATATTAGGAAAATGTAATTAAAATTTATATTTTCAACTATATTTGATGCTACCAAAAATCGTACCTGCTGATTTTCCGAGCTTGATGACTGGTGAGGAGCACGAACGTGATCTTCCGATACCTGAAACAAAGGCAACGAGGTGTGTTCTCGTCGCCCCTCCGATGCTTAAGTCAGAAAGGGAAATATATGCGTGAGGCTATGTGCTGAAGAACAATGAGAAAACGTACCTGAATAATGGCCCAAGGTTCTGCTTTTATAGGAGTAGGTAGTGTACTCCTAGTAGGATTGTGTTGGTTGGATGTTTTTATCCAAGGGAATTTCTATTATAAAGAATGTCCTACTTGTAATGGAATTGTTTGACAAGTGGTGTTAGGGTTGATGTAGAATCCTTGGGTGTTTAGGTTTGTTAGTTAGGTACCCAGGTCTTAGGAGGTATGTTGGTGGTGTATGTCTCGAGGACTATTTCTCGAGGACATTGAGGGAATGTAAATGTGTCCTCGAGGTATCTCGAGGACTACAATATCTCGAGGACTTAGATGACCTCGAGGACTGAAGAAGAGAAATGAGGTGGGGGTATGTATTGAGTCCTCGGGAATCAATGCCTCGGGTGTATCAATATTGGCATAGTCAATTATTATTATTATTATTATTATTATTAAGATTTTCCAATCTTTTTCAGGTATATTTAGTATACTAGATTGAATAATAAAAAAAATTAAAATTAAAATTTTATTCATTGTATTAATTAATCATGTCCATACTAGACTATCAGTATGTCATCAAAAGCCACAATAGGAAGAAAATGAAAGAAGAGAAAAATGCACACAAATATGTGTGATTGGCTAATACAAGATTACTTTACTTACAAAATCGATTAATGTACTAAAACCAGGATATAAATGAGGATATCTTGTATTATAATAAGAATATTATCTATACGCTCAAAATCTCTCTAATATTGAGAAAATTGTTTATATACTAATTCTGATCTATAATCACCTTGTATATAAATATGTAAGTATTAAAGTCTTGAAGTTCCACATAAGTGATTGCCACGTAGGCACGGGTTCGCTTGTCACACATCTTGCTATGGCCCTTATCCATGTGGAATAAAATAAACTATTATCCTCGTTTAATGTGGTACAAGGTCATCGCTTATGACTTTTGCACCAAGAGATAGCATGGTCATGCCTCACCTCCTTGTTGAACGACTCCTTTGATAAGATAGAAGGGCGAAGCTCAATTTAATCGGACGAACTAGGTCCTTTAGGTGAGGCCCAATGTGTCTTATCAATGACACGAAACTCAAAATTCAAGGAATAACGGTCATATTGGAAATATGAATCCTATTAGAAAACTGCTTTATCAATTCCAAAAAATCAAGTATGAGGCATATTAAACAAAATCTTCGTAACCCAATAGGTCGTGACAGTTTATTTGACTATCGGAATGTCAAAGGTCGTCGATCCTTTTTTTTGGTGCGATTATCTTAATGCAAAATGGTACATGTTTTGGATCAACTAATGCGTATTGTGCACTTGAGCAATAACGAAGAAAATGAATGGATTCTGTCAAACACAGACTTACCATGCCTATTTCCTAGAAGGTTGAGATATACCTCAGTCGTTTTTTAAAGGTTGAAGCCAAATATGTTAATTTCCCTTGCTTTTATATTTAGATAATATAATTTATACAAAATTAATATTGTCCAAAAAAGTTAACGCTAGAGAATTATAAGAAAAAAATTTAAAATTTTGTTTATTATTTATAAAGGACCATCCAGTAATATAGTTATGAATGAACACATTATTAGTAATTTAACTTTGCTCCCGATAATATTTTTTGAGAATAAAATTTCATTTTATTGAACATTCGAGTAGACAAACAATTCTCTCATTGTTTTAAATTAGTCAACTTTTTAATTTTTATATGTATTTTTATTCGACCTTAATGTATTTGATGACTCGGAACATAAATGACACTTAATATCAACTTTCTTATTCACATGATTAAATACATTAACTGGTTGCAGTGGTCATCAAATTAAAACACGATACAAAGTCAAGACATCAATTGGATTTTTAACACAAATAAAAATGAATCGACTTATTTTGCCACGACGACAAGGTTGTTTTCAAGATCAGCACTACATTAATGGATTAATAGCATAAAATCCCCTAAAAACTTGTTCATATACAATAAACCCTCCGTCCTATTGAAAATTACAGAAAAGGTCCATATTTGAAAAGTTTTGCTAGAAATATTCTCCTACTGTCAAGATTCGTTAGTTTAACCGTTAAAAACAATAACAAATAAAAAAAATGAAAAAAGGAATAATTGCAATTTTAGTACCCAAAATATTTAATTTTTTGCAAAGTAACCACAAATTTTTAAATGTGACAACTACAATTCCAAATCTTTAAAATCACCCCACCCACCCCTCTTCATCTTCTTCGCAAATCGCTTCACCTTCGTCCCCACCCAAAAAATTAGCATCCCTCTCTAGTTGATGAACAACTCCTCTAGAATTCGAGGCTACCTTGGCTGGAATTACACTTTTTTGGCCTTTTTTTCTATTGAGTGTTGATTGTTCAAAATGAACAATATAACTGTGGAATGAAAACGGAGGCCCAAGTTAGGGCCATGCAGTCGCATGGCCACTTTCGAAAAACCAGGTTGGTTTTCTGCATTAACCATGTGGTCGCATCGTACTTCATTTTCGATCATTGGAGGCCGTTTTCGAACGTTGTAAATTTGAATTTGGTGGCCTTTCACTTGTTTTTTGGCACCATTTCATGTACATGGTTGAAGCTTATAAATTTAACAGTACATGAAATTTGTGTTTTTCCATTTCATGGTTGAAGCTTATTAATTTAACCATGTACATGTTAAAACACAAATTTAACCATGTACATGTTAAATTTATAAGCCTTCCTGGAATGGAAATTTTTTGGCACCATTTCATGTACTGTTAATTCATTAAGATCTTGGTTAGATATTTGTGGGAATCTTTGATTATTTTTAATTAAATTAAAAGTGAGGTTAACCATGAATTATAATTGTTTTTGTGTTTAAATGTCAACACAATAAGAAAAGAGGGAAAAAGGTGAAAATCTGCATAATTAAAATGATTACTACAACTTAATCATCCAAAAAAATGATAGACAAATAAGCATTTTTATAATTAGTGGTGTAATTAAATCATTTAATTACTTAATTAGTTGAAGAACTCATAATTATGATGCTAACATGTTGAAATATTCCTTGAGCATGATGAATAAGAGTATCAGCAACGGATTTTGAAATGGAAAAACCTCGTTGATGCCCTTAATCACGGATTTGGCGATTTAACATGTACATGGTTGAAGCTTATAAATTTGTGTTTTTCCATTCCAGGAAGGGGGCGAACTAAATTTAATTAAAAACTACGTCCCTTCAATAACAGCTTAAGTTTAAACTTTCAGATGAGGTGGTTCAACGTATTATACGAACAAGTAAATATCAATAGTTTGTTCAAGTCTCACCGCCTCCCAAAAAAAAAAAAATCAAAAAGCAGAATAGTCTTCCAACTTGCTGGGTAAAGACAAAGCAATTAAGTAAAACAAGGAAGGAAATATGAAGTAGAAAATAACGTGTGTAGACATAGAAACAGGAATAGTAGAGAATTGTTTTCTATCAATCATCTCAAGGACCTTAGGGTATTTTGTTTTCTACCAATCATTTATAGAGTTATATTTTCTTAACCACGCAAATAACGAAAATGACATCGCAAGATACACATAATAATGGATTTTTGTAGAAACAATATTTCTAGACAAAATATGAGTTTCCTCGCAAGTCATAATATTCTACAAAGAAGACTCACTTAGTGTGTTTATTGGGTTGCTTGACTCAAGACTTACCGTATTTTTATTAACACACATCGGACTGTATCACTTCATTATATCTCATCTGATAACAATGTACGTCATTTTTTATATAATGAAAATTGCATGTGATAAATAAGTTACAATGGTGGCATCTTCGAAACTTGAAAAGGTAGCGATGTTTGTGCACATCTGAGCATAGTCCGGTCCCACTTGTATTGTATTTGGTCAAATAAGCATAGGTGAATTATCAACCATGCAGTCCCATCCAAGCCACCTTCGCATACATGTGAGTCAGAGCAGGAGGAGCATTGAATTGATCTCCCAACCTCTAATGCCCTGTTTGATAAGCCCAAATTCCATTTATTCCATGAAAAATGGAATTTATTTTCCACCCATTTTGTAGTGTTTGATAGCAAAATTTTACTTGGAAAATGAATTCCCTTCCCCCCACCCATGTGACCCATTTTCCATGATTTTGTGGGGAAATCAATTTCTATGTTCCTTTTCCTTTTTTTTTTTTTTTTATGGTAAATGGGAACAAATTCTAAACACAATTGTAAAAAAATTTATCACTTTAATTGACACTTTTCATAAAAAACAAAGCCAAATGAACACCAAAAGATACAAACTTTCAACATTTTCTAGGTCAAAAATTATACCAATCAAACAAATTTAATTGATAATTCCCAGTAAAACAAGTTCTAGACAATTCAATTCCCTAGAATTTATTTTCTTTCCACCCAAATTACATCATTGCAATCAAACTAAATTCAAAATAGCAGCAGATGCAGGCAAGTCT